TAACATATGTTGTGAACGAGTTATAAATGTATTGCAAACAGAAGTAAAAGCCTATGAATGGTATGAATAGTGATGTGTTTTCACTGTACTTACGATTAGACGTCAATTCAATGGTTGTATCACAAAAGCAATGAATGACTGATTCAATGGGTGTTTGAGTAGTGAATGCAGTGTTGGTATGAAATGCACAACAATTGTAAACAATGATTGCAACACTCGGTTGACAAACACTGCAAACCTGACGTCAGCCTAACATACCGGTGCTCTGACGTCACGCATGAGTGTTGTGTACTTTGAAAACTTTGTTGAACTTTAAATTAGTTAGTTTAGTTTAGTTTAGTTTAAATGTTAGTTAGTTTTATTTGAATGAAATATGATTTGCCGGACAATAGTATATTCAGATTGAATATAAGATACAATTGAATTGAAACATAATTGTAATTAACATAGAGTTGAGCCACAAATCAGACAATGAAAACTCAATTGTTTGACAAGTTTATTAATTTTATAAATTGTGTACAAACAATATTAAGTTATATTTGTTTACAATTTATAATTAACAAATTAATAAATGTATTTATACAATCTATATTATAGATTCTATAATTAATTTGTAAACTCTTATTGTCACAAATGATTGTAAAAACTCTTAGAGTCTAAGACATTAACTAATGACAAGAGATATTACAACTAATGACAATAAATGAACACATTATTTGAATGCAAAGTTTTTATTACAATTTGTAATAAAAATTGATAATAAAAACCCGGCGCCTCCACCCCCGGGTCAGTCGGACTGCCACAGACTCCCAGCACCCCAGACCACTGGCCAGTGATCTGTCGGACTGTCTGCGCTCTCCCAACACCCCCGACCCTATAGGGCGCGCCACTCGACACCACTCCCAGACCGGCCGGACTGCCCAGACTCCCAACACCCGGATCAGTGGCCAACTGACCCGTCGGACTGTCTGGACTCCCAACACCTCCGGTCCCACTCTCGCCACCATTGCTCGGACATCACATCCGGTCAGTCGGACTCTTCGCAATCCCAACACCAGAGGTGTGTCGCAAACCATTGCCCTCTCTGTCTGTCACTCGTTATCATCGAAACGATGGTTCAAATCTTGACATTAGATGTCCTATCAGTACATATAGTACTCTCCCCTATGAGTGACTCGTCTCATGTGTTGACCACTGCCTCCGGATCTGTTGAATTCGCTTTCAAACCACTTGTCAGTCAACTGTTGCAACGATTGCCGCGATTCGTGGTTTGGGTCCATAAGTCGGCGCAGAACTCGAGTGAAGTCTACGACACTCTTGTGGTGATCGGTGTCTGTGTTGTCCACCACTTGACCACAAAGTTTGTCCATATCTTGGTATATGTTCTCCGATTTCAAACACTCTATTCGTTGCACGGGATCTGCATTTGGCGTGAATGGAGGGAACGGCATGTGATTTGTGAGCATTTCGTATAGGATTACTCCCAACGCCCAGACGTCAAGCAAACGGATGTCATAATCGTTTGGCGGCATTAAGACGAACGCCTCGGGAGACAAGTATTCACGCGTTCCGATGAATATAGACCGAGGAATGGGAAGTCCTGTCGACTCGTCGTGTGATCTGCGGGTGAGACCTAAATCACAGACTTTTGCTGTGAATCTACCGGCGCTACTGTCGTTCATCATCAGTATGTTATCGGGTTTGAGATCCAAATGCGCGAAGTGTTTGGAGTGGATGTGACGGACACCACAAGTCATGTCCCGAAACAGAGTCTCAATGCTCTTAAAAGACATCATTTGTGACTTCATTGCCAAACATCCCATGTATTCCGAGAGATCCATGATCGCCAACTCCATGGCCACTAT